GTCCCCGGGCGGGGGGGGGGGGGGGTGGAACTAGATGATCTTAAGGTCCTTTCCAACCCTAACTATTCTGTGATTACAAGAACATAAAGGCTGTATGCAGAATTAAAAATAAAAAATAGTTGGGAATTATGTTGCACCTATAGCCTTAATTTAACATCTCTGCACATATATATATGTGTGTTTAGATTATATTAGTTCGTAGATAGAATCATAGAATGGCTTGGATTGGAAGGGACCTTAAAGTTTATCTAGTTCCAACCTCCCTATAGTCCCAACCTTCCAGTAGATCAGGTTGCTCAAAGCCCCGTCCAACCTGGCCTTGAACGCTCCCAGAGATGGGGCAGCCACAGCTTCTCTGGGCAACCTGACCAGGGCCTCACTACCCTCACAGTGAAGAACTGCCTAATATCTAGTCTAAATCTGCCTTCTCTCCATTTAAAGTCATTCCTCCTTGTCCTATCCCTACATGCCTTTGTAAAAAGTCCCTCTCCAGCTTTCTTGTATGCCCCTTCAGGTATAGGAAGGCTGCTTAAGTTATATTAAATTATAATAAATTTGTACATATATATGTCATCCTTCCCACAAAATCCCCAAATCACTCAGTCTCAGGAGTGACAGTACTCATTAAATAAGCAGTTATACAACAGAACTGAGTTCTTTGCCCTCCTTGTTCAATATAAACATATTTAAAACCCCATCCGTGCGCTTCTACCATGAAATCAGAATGACTGGCTTTCCCATAGTCCTATTATAATTACCATCATTTACACTACCCAACAGTCCCCCACACTAATTTCACAGCTCTCTACCAGGTCAGAATGCCGCTGTTATCCATCTGCACCTGCCACTGTTGGACTCTTCTGTCCAACTCTTTCTTGCCTTATGTCTTCTTCACACCCATCGTCTTTGTCCTGGTCTACTCGTACTGCCTCTCCCACAAATGTAAATTCAGCTTTTTAGCAGAAAGCACAGCTGTCTGCTTCGGCTATAAGCATCGGGGAAATCTAGTATCCATAGATACAGGCAAACCTGGACTTTCAGACAGCGATGGTGATAGTGCAACACACTGCAATATCTGCTTTGACTTTTCTACTCTCCAAGCTCCTGCTTAGCATGTGACTACATATGATTGTCTCGTCTCAGCTATTCAAAATCAAAAGGCTCTTCCCTTCATCCTGTCCAGACTACAGTTTCTTCTTTGGCATAAGAAGGATTTCAGGCTTACACCACTTTCCAAGTATGCACTGTCTAGAGAAACAGAAGTGTGCTTCATACCAATACAGAATTGTAACGCATCTGCCAGCCTCTGCTCATTTCATACCGAGGAGAGAGCTGTTATCAAGTTGTAAGAAAGAGACATCAGCATGTGGTTCCAATCTTTCTGTCCTTATTTATTATGCTTCAGTAGCATGTACGGCACAGCATACAAGAAAGGACTTCTACTTAACCCTAGCTGACTTCAAAGGCTGACAAAGTTTTCACTGTTTAATGCAGGAACTACACAACGTTGTCAGCTATTCGTAGACATCCACAGTATTTATTTTTCCCTTTATCTTGCTAAAGCAGAAATCTTGCTGGGCTTTCTTATGATAATGATTAACTGCTGAAATTCCAGGAGAGATGCCCAGTCAGTCTGTCCTGCAGATAATGCTGATTTAGGCAGAGGTTCAAATGCGAACTTTGAGTGCTGCACTTCATAAGGGCTATATGTTGCTGCTATTAATGCATCAATTAATAAACATACTGTAGGAAAAGTCCAAGACTCACTCCTGCTGCCTCCAGTTTGCGGGCTAATTGTGTGGCATTTTGGATATTCAGTCAGATCAAGCAGAGAGCTGGGTAATTCTTTTGTTGCCCTGATTCCGTAACTGGACACCTGCCTTGGGTCATACAACACATACCAGAGAGCAGCAGGGAACAAAATCAAACAAAATTACAGTGCGGTGAAGACAACTGCAGCCTTCAAAGTGGGAGCAGCAGATGCTCAGCACTTCACAGAATTAAATCAATTACAACAATTGCCTTCCCAAACAGGAGCAGAGCAACCCTGGCACAGGACAGGGTGACTTGGCTGGCTCAGTGTGGCATGGCACACTTCTAACTAATCAGTTAGATTAGACTTTTAAGGTACTGGCTTCTTGTAGGACTTCAAACTTAGAAGGCTGCAACAGCTTCAGTTCCAATGTTTCTGTGATGACAGAAACGTCCTTCTCAGCCTTGGGATGAACCATCAGCAGCATGTGAGAAGTGTAAGGCAACTGCTGTGCCAGGTCTCAATCTCTATATTCTTCTCTGCAAGGCACAGAGCTTGGCCAATGTGGGTGGATTGCCAAGAGGACGGCAAAAAGCACATCCCTGCCAGAAGGAAATCCTGCTATTCTGAGAGCCACTAAAAACAGAAGTGCTAAAGCTCCTCAGAGAATAGGTGCCAAGAAGGTTCTACCAAGGGCAAACCACCCACACATTTTCCTCCCTCTTCATCTCTTGGAATCAGCCAAACGGTTCTGGCTGAAACTTTCTATATGAAAAGGTAACACTGGTCAGCTCAGAGTACTCTGACTGCTGGAGAGAAAATGTGTAGACAACAGGGTCTTGCGAATGGTAAGCACTAAATTCTTCTCTCCCCTCTACAATCTTCTTTCAGGAATTTAAAAAGATAAAAATGTCCCACGTGCGTAATTTGGATGCTGAGACTTGTATTATTTTTTTTTCCCCAGTGATGTCACCCAGGCTTCTCCATATTCTTCACACCTACTTTGGTGAACAATAGTTAGCCTCTTTGTCCCCATTTTGATTCCTGC